ACCACAGTAACAGTGAAACCCTCATTAACCACCACAATAACAGTGAAACGGTCATTAACCACCACAATAACAGTGGCACCCTCATTAACCACCACAATAACAGTGACACCATTAACCACCACAATAACAGTGACACCATTAACCACCACAGTAACAGTGAAACCCTCAATTACCACAACAACAGTGACACCCTCATTAACCACCACAATAACAGTGACACTCTCATTAACCACAAGAACAATGACACCATTAACCACAACAACAGTGACACCATTAACCACAACAACAGTGACACCATCATTAACCACAACAGTGACACCATTACCCACAACAACAGTGACACCATTACCCACAACAACAGTGACACCATCATTAACCACAACAACAACACCAGTGACACCATCATTAACCACTACAATAAGAGGACAGCAGCAGCAGTGTAGATAGTGTGGGAATCATCGTACACAATAACACTCATTACAGTTGGTCGTGTCAGTAACGACGTTAATAGAGGCGAGAGTGAAGACAATACTGATGAAAGGTGTCCTTGTAGATAGGGAGGGAGAAGGCTGGAGGGGAGAGTGGTTATAGGAAAGAGTGGGAAGGATGTAGAGTAAGAAGGGGAGGTAGGGAAGGAGGGTGAGAGAGAATGGAGGAAAAGGGGAATGTGTATAGTGAAGGAGACTGAGAGGAGAAAGTGAAAAAAGGTGTGTTCAACCAGGGTTCACTGTGTATCACGGTGTTACTATCACAACCATAGTTCACTGTCCAGGATGGTGTCACTATCACAACCATTATTCGCTACCAGGATGGTGTTACTATCACAACCATGGTTAACTATTTTGGCACCTGGCCCTGTGCCCAAGACTACTTTGATCGGCGTTACTATTTTTTGACCCTGCGATATCAACACTTGAAGCTGTATTCACCTGATTGTGGTTGCAGAGGTCGAGTCACAGCTCTTGGCCCCCACCTCTTCACTGGTCGCTACTAGGTCACTCTTCCCACTTCATGAGCTTTATACGTCTTAAAAGCTGTATATGGATCCTGCCTCCACTACATCACTTACTAGACTATTCCACCTCTTGACAATTCTACGACTGAAGAAATACTTCCAAACATCCTTGTGATTCATCCGAGTCTTCACTTCCAACTGTGACCCCTTGTTGCTGTGTCCCATCTCTGGAACATCCTGTCTCTGTCCACCTTGTCAATTCCTCTCAGTATTTTACATGTCGTTATCATATTCCCCCTATCTCCCTGTCCTCCAGTGTCGTCAGGCCAATTTCCCTTAACCTCTCTTCGTAGGACATGCCCCTTAGCTCCGGGACTAGTCTCGTTGCAAACCTTTGCACTTCTCTAATTTCCTTACATGTTTGGTTAGGTGTGGGTTCCAAACTGGTGCTGCATACTCCAATATAAGCCTGACATACACGGTGTACAGGGTCCTGAACGAGGTTTGTAGTCTCTGGCCCCCTAGACTGTACTCTGTCTGCTGTCTTCTTTGCCCTTCCCCAATCTTCATGACTTTGCACTTGGTGAGGTTGAACTCCAGGAGCCAGTTTCCGGACCAGGTCTGCAGCCTGTCCAGATCCCTTTGTAGTTCCGCCTGGTCCTCGTCCGATTGAATTATTCTCATCAGCTTCACATCATCTGCAAACAGGGACACTTCTGAGTCTATTCCTTCGGTCATTGTGCTGTAGAGGTCTGAGTGTTGCTGTGTGTGTTGGTGTGTGTGTGTGTTGGTGTGTGTGTGTTGGTGTGTGTGTGTTGGTGTGTGTGTGTGTTGGTGTGTGTGTGTGTGTTGGTGTGTGTGTGTGTTGGTGTGTGTGTGTTGGTGTGTGTGTGTGTGTGTGTGTGTTGTGTTGGTGTGTACTCACCTAGTTGTACTCCACCTAGTTGAGGTTGCGGGGGTCGATGTTCGAGCTCCTGGCCCGCCTCTTCACTGATCGCCGCTACTAGGTCACTCTCCCTGAGCCGTGAGCTTTATCATACCTCTGCTTAAAGCTATGTATGGATCCTGCCTCCACTACATCGCTTCCCAATCTATTCCACTTACTGACTACTCTGGGCTGAAGAAATACTTCCTAACATCCCTGTGGTTCATCTGTGTCTTCAGCTTCCAACTGTGTCCCTTGTTACTGTGTCAATCTCTGGAACATCCTGTCTTTGTCCACCTTGTCAATTCCTCTCAGTATTTTGTATGTCGTTATCATGTCCCCCCTATCTCTTCTGTCTCCAGTGTCGTCAGGTTGATTTCCCTTAACCTCTCCTCGTAGGACATACCTCTTAGCTCTGGGACTAGTCTTGTTGCAAACCTTTGCACTTTCTCTAGTTTCTTCACGTGCTTGGCTAGGTGTGGGTTCCAAACTGGTGCCGCATACTCCATAGGGCCTAACATACACGGGTACAGGGTCCTGAATGATTCCTTATTAAGATGTCGGAATGCTGTTCTGAGGTTTGCAAGCGCCCATATGCTGCAGCAGTTATTTGGTTGATGTGCGCTTCAGGAGATGTGCCTGGTGTTATACTCACCCAAGATCTTTTTCCTTGAGTGAGGTTTGTAGTCTTGACCCCCTAGACTGTACTCCGTGTGTGTGTGTGTGTGTGTGTGTGTGTGTGTGTGTGTGTGTGTGTGTGTGTGTGTGTGTGTGTGTGTGTGTGTGTGCGCGCGCGCGCTTTACACACAAGTGTGAGGTGTCAGTAGGAAGCGTGACGAGCCCCGTGGCCTGGTGGCTAAAGCTCTCGCTTCTCACGGCGAGGGTCCGAGTTCGATTCACGGCGAAGGGGTGGAAACAATGGACGTATTTCCTTACCCCGGTTGTCTATGTTCCCCATCAGTAAAATAAGTACCTGGTTGTTAGTCGACTGGTGTGAGTTGCATCTTGGGACAAAATTGACCTAATTTTCCCGAAATACTCTGTATAACAAGTGGTTTTCTATATAGTAGTATGTCATTGATATCAACTAGGTCTGTATACCTTGTACATGTACTTGTAGAAATAAAGATATATTTCCCACGAAGAGCATTTCTTTATCTCACAGTTTATCCTAACATTGCAAAGTTAATCGTTTTCTTCGATGTATGTGCTAATCCGTTTTCTTTAGGGACTGTGTCAGCTGGAGCTGATGGAAATAGGTGGAAGTGGAGCGGAAAGGTGGACTGTTCTGGAAAGTTGGGTAGAGAGCACTGGCGTAGGTGCTGGGGAGAGTAGGTGAAATGCCCACCATATCTTGGGACCCCACTGGAAATGAGTAACATTATTTCATTTTGTTGGGCTATCCTAGGTTAAATCTAGTTAATATATTTTTCATATTGTATACATAAACCTAAATAAAAACTTAGTGTCGTAGTATTTTGTGGTGATCATGTTTGTTCTTCGCTCTACTAGGTTATATTTGTTGGGTGTTTGTAAATTGTTCCTCAGTGTATGTACCAGCTTGATGGTGAATCTTTCTAAGCTCTTAAGTTCCCTTCATTGTTGTTAGCTGTAACTACGTTCATGCCTCCGACTGTACGTTCTTGTGTGTACTTACCGAGGTGTCTTTGCGAGGGTCGTGACTCAGCTCCTGGCCTCGCCTCCTAAACTACTTTGATCGACATCAGTGATTTCTGGCCTGTCAGGTCGTATTGTATTTACTCTTAAAGGTGTGTATTGGTTTGCCTCTACCACTGTTTATGTGCATGTGTATGTGTTTGTGTACGGGTGCGTGCTTCTCTGTTTACATATACTTCTCACCATGCGTAGTGTCAGGGTTAATTAACTCCTGGTGTAGTAACATAAACACTTGTCACTTTTACCCGTATCCAATTTCGATGGTAGTTCTTTCCTAGTCTGAGGCCAGATTTCCTTCTTTGCATGTAGCCATGTAGCCGGAAGTATTGCCATTGTCATGTATAATAGTGTGTGGTGAGGTGTGGTGTACATACAGATTTCGACGTTTCCTGGTATTGTGCAGCCATCGCGTTGCCAGACGTAGTGCGGCTTATTTTAATTGCCTTTATCTAACCTAACTTAACAAACCAAACTAAAAATAACTTAAAATAAATATTTGTCAGTTTGCAGGAAGCGTTTGGAAATTGAAATTGGGATTCACATCAGAAAATTACGGTAATGAGATAAGTACAGGTGTAGTGTCTTATGTGTAGCAGGTGCAGGTGTTGCGTGAGGTGAGGATACTGACGTAGTGGACTGGTGATGATGGCTTATTGAGCGACACGTGTGCAGGAAATAGCAAGGAACTGCTTCTAGAGAGCTGATGTCAGTGTTAATACTGGACCAGGGGCGGCTCCTGCTGGTGTTCTCAGTGTATGTGTGTGTGTCAGTGTTAACACTGGACCAGGGGCGGCTCCTGCTGGTGTTCTCAGTGTGTGGGTGTCAGTGTGGTGGGCAGGGATGGATAGCAGCATAAAAATGGATAGGATATGGGCGGATGCTGTAATGGGAATGGGTTGTACGATATTGGTGATATGCTTTACGAGAAGAGATGATGAGCTAAATGGACTAGGAATGCTCTGAAATAGGTTGGAAATTGGTAGGAATATGCGTATGGTGGACTTGGGATGGTTTAATGCATAATGAACTGTAATTAGAAAGAAGTGAAAACCCGCAGGGGTCATACAGCGCCTAGGAAATTTGAGTGTATAAACTTCGATCCAAATGGAGGGGCGGCTCCAGTAACTCAAGTCAAGAGCCCTTTCACGCTAGCTACATATTAACATTATGTATGTTGTGGAACAAGTGTACGGAACCTCCCTGATGCCGGTGACGGGACTCTTGATTCAAGGAATTGGACCTTTCCTCTCCTTCCTTGGATCAAATAAGATTGCTTACTATTCTCCAGGTGGTGTATGACCCCTACGAGTATAGCGTTTCCTCTTTAGTAATAATAGTAATAATAATGTGCCACAACACTTGTTCATAATGTGAATCATCACACAACACTTAACATTATAAAGTGATATGAAGAATTAAACCCGTGTGGGTCTTGTGGCGCAGGGAGTTCTAAAGGCTCGATCCTTCATCTGCTAATCGAGGCATACACTGTATCGACCTAAGTGCTGAAGGCTGTGAAGAGACGTAAATACTGAGTGAGCATCGCCGTCAGTAGTGAGGCTCATACCCTGGTATGAGTGGGTGGCCAATGCTGTGAGCACACCCAGGAACTACATGATCGTCGTGCATCAGAAGGGTGGCCTAATGCATGGTGAAGCTACGTCCTGTAGACGGCGCCACTGGCGACACTCGTCACGACAAACAGCTGTCAGCTGACACACACCAACACCTGCCTAATACTCACCCTCCTCCGCCCTCACGAGTCATACACCCACGCCTACACACAGATGTCTGCTTACGCCCACACACGGCTGACAGGTGTTTACACTCTCCTGCTGTACGCCCTCGCGTGCAGTCGGCGGATACGAAGCCACAACTGCTGCCAAAGCGTATACGCGTACATCTGCAGTCACCTGATGCTCACCTACGCCTGCAGTTGGCAAATGCTCAGCTTCGCTTGCAGTCACCGGATGCTCACCTGCGCCTTCAACCAGCTGACAGTCTCTCGCATCACGCTGACATCTGTCAACATCATCCGTCAGTTTACACCCGTCCACAAGTACAGTCATGCACCGCCCGTCAACAGGTGCCTGGTAACACACACAGGCACGACACAGGGATACATGCAGGTGTGTCCAGGGCAGCGACAAAGGGGCAGGCGCCTCCAAAAGCGAGGACTCTTGCCCCAACAAGTGTGGAAGGCTTGGGTAATAAGCCTTGTGATGGGTGTGTGTGTGGCGAACTAGTGAGTGAGTTGGAAGTCAGTGGTGTGAGGAACCCTGTGTTAGTGGGTTACAGTGGTGTGAGAAGCCCTGTCCTAGTGGGTTCTAGGGGCGAGAGAAACCCTGACCTTCTATGTTCCCGTGGTGTGGGAAGCCCTGCCTTAGTGGGTTCCGGTGTTGAGACGAGCTCTATTCTAGTGGGTTCCCGTTGTGTGGGGAGCCCTGCCCAAGTGGGTTCCCATGGTGTAGGAAGCCCTGCCCTAGTGGGTTCTCGTAGTGAGGGAAATCCTGGTGTGGTGGGTTCTTCGTCTTCGTCGTGGCTGTCGTCGGATGCCCTCTGCCTCCTGTTCTGCTGCAGGAGGGAGCCCCGGGAGGAGGAGGAAGCCGCCACCAAGGAAGACCCCTCCGGCCTTGCCGTGTACAAGGTGTATGGTGTGCGACCCAGTAGTTGCAGGGTCCAAGCTACACTCCTGCCTTCCGGTAAGTTATACCATTACCACAACCTTCATGAATATTTTATTAAATTGTACATTGTTTTTTCGTGAAACGCTGAACCCATAAAGGCTATTTATTGATTGAGAATCAGAACTCATTCGCGGTTCAGTCTCTGTCCAGCTAGGCTGTTGGTGATAGTCTACTGAAGAAATGATGTTAGCATTCATTTTATCATTGAGTGTTTTACCGGCGGGTTGGAGGTGTGTAAGTCAGTTGACGAATACTCGCTAGACAAAGATGTGGAGTTTACACACAAATAACCCGCACATAGAAGAAGAAAGCTTATAACGACGTTTCGGTCCAACTTAGACCAATTCGTCGTGGAGTTTTGAAGAAAAGGCAGGTGCATAGCAACCTTTTTTTGCGACATCTTATTTTTGATCATCCGGAAGAAGGATATGTCCATGAAAGTGTGAAGGAGATCGTGGAGGAGGGTCCCCAGCTGCATGGAGACGGAAGCCAAACTAGCGTCAGTGTTGCTTTGAATCATGCCGTAGAGGGCCTAAGACGCCACTCAGTCGGTAAACCAACGATAGTCTGACGAAGGCAGTTTACCTGACGTAGGGCCACCTGTATCAGGCGATCATTCGCCGATCTTGAGCGAGTCCTCAAAAATAATAAAAACAAAATTACCACTGAAAAAATAAACAAGAAAACGTGAGCACTTTCATGTGCTTACAGATATTCAAGGAAATGTACATAAATATAGTATATATTGTATGTATATATGCATAGAGCTCCTGGTAGAGCTTCTGGCTCCTTCCCTAGACTTGAAATGATTATCGTAAGTAATTTTCGAAAAAAAATCAAGCATTAACTGCAGTGTTTTGAATTTTGTGAGAACTAGAGTTGGCCTTTGAGCAACTTGACGCTGTTAGAAGGTGTTAACCCTTCTCTAGATTTCAGTTAACGCGCGTTAACTGAAAAAAATAGTTAAGTGGATATAAGTTACAACTACGAGGAAAACTTCAGTTAGTGGCTTGAGGGCTTGTGCATATATTTATATCAATGAAACCTATGTAATTGGAGAATCAGTCAGGAGTCCGTGGCTGCAAGAAGTCATAATATTAAGCTAAAAGCTTGAGAAGAAACCTGTACCTTGACCACCTTGTATCCACACTACGTTCAGTACTTGTCAACCTTTAGTAATTGTCTTCCTTATCCAGTAATAGCGAAAATAATAAGAAATAATAATAATGACAACATTCTCCTTTTTTTTGCCACTCTTTTCCCTGCTTACCCTCCTGCTGTTCCTGCTGGCCCTCCTGCTGTTCCTCCTGTTATTCCTCCTGCTGCCCCCCTGTTATTCCTCATGCTGTTCTTCCTGATGTTCCTGGTGTTATTCCTCCTGCTGCCCTTCCTGATATTCCTCCTGGTGCTGCTGCTCCTATGTGCTGCTCTGCTCCTGGTGCTGCTGCTCCTTTTGTGCTGCTGCTCCTGGTGCGCTTGCTGCATCCTGGTGCTGCTGCTCCTGGTGCTGCTGTCCTGGTTTATACCTGAGGTGTTGATAAGTATTTTCGTCACCTTTGCTGGGGAAGTTTACATTTTTAATTACATAATTTTAGTGAATTTCGAGTGACTGAAATGTTTCGCTGAAGATTAAAGTTTTTTCTTCGACCAAACACCAGTTTGTGTTTCCCTTCACTCAGGCAGTTTGTGTTTCCCTTCATTCTGGTAGTTTGTGTTTCCCTTAACTCAGGCAGTTTGTTTCCCTTCACTCTGGTAGTTTGTGTTTCCCTTCACTCAGGCAGTTTGTTTCCCTTCACTCTGGTAGTTTGTGTTTCCCTTCACTCAGGCAGTTTGTTTCCCTTCACTCTGGTAGTTTGTGTTTCCCTTCACTCAGGCAGTTTGTTTCCCTTCACTCTGGTAGTTTGTGTTTCCCTTCACTCAGGCAGTTTGTTTCCCTTCACTCTGGTAGTTTGTAGTTTTCCTTCACTCAGGCAGTTTGTAGCTTCCCTTCACTCGGGCAGTTTGTTTCCCTTCACTCAGGCAGTTTGTAGTTTTCCTTCACTCGGGCAGCTTGTGTTTCCTTTCACTTGGGCAGTTGTGTTTCCTTTCACTTGGGCAGTTTGTTTCCCTTCACTCGAGCAGTATATTTGACGTGAGGTAATTAAAAATTTCAGATGTGATTTAGGAAGTGAGAGTACAGCAAGGTCGTAATTTTCCTTAACACTGAGGTGAAAAACACCTCTGTGGTCCTGTCAGTAAATTGATCCAACTTAATGCTGTTGTTTACTCGCGAGTTTCTAGGACATTGTTTAGTGAGATAATGGAGAGATTGTTTACTGAGACAGTGGAGAGATTGTTTACTGAGGCAGTGGAGAGATTGTTTTACTGAAGATAAATGGAGAGATTGTTTACTGAGATAATGGAGAGATTGTTTACTGAGGCAGTGGAGAGATTGTTTACTGAGGCAGTGGAGAGATTGTTTACTGAGGCAGTGGAGAGATTGTTTACTGAGATAATGTAGAGATTGTTTACTGAGGCAGTGGAGAGATTGTTTACTGAGGTAATGGAGAGATTGTTTACTGAGGCAGTGGAGAGATTGTTTACTGAGATAATGGAGAGATTGTTTACTGAGACAGTGGAGAGATTGTTTACTGAGACAATGGAGAGATTGTTTACTGAGGCAGTGGAGAGATTGTTTACTGAGGCAGTGGAGAGATTGTTTACTGAGACAGTGGAGAGATTGTTTACTGAGGCAGTGGAGAGATTGTTTACTGAGACAGTGGAGAGATTGTTTACTGAGACAGTGGAGAGATTGTTTACTGAGACAGTGGAGAGATTGTTTACTGAGGGCAGTGGAGAGATTGTTTACTGAGACAGTGGAGAGATTGTTTACTGAGACAGTGGAGAGATTGTTTACTGAGACAGTGGAGAGATTGTTTACTGAGACAGTGGAGAGCTTGTTTACTGAGACAGTGGAGAGATTGTTTACTGAGACAGCGGAGAGATTGTTTACTGAGACAGTGGAGAGATTGTTTACTGAGACAGCGGAGAGATTGTTTACTGAGACAGTGGAGAGATTGTTTACTGAGACAGCGGAGAGATTGTTTACTGAGACAGTGGAGAGATTGTTTACTGAGGCAGTGGAGAGCTTGTTTACTGAGACAGTGGAGAGCTTGTTTACTGAGACAGTGGAGAGCTTGGGTTACTGAGAACAGTGGAGAGCTTGTTTACTGAGACAGTGGAGAGCTTGTTTACTGAGACAGTGGAGAGCTTGTTTACTGAGACAGTGGAGAGCTTGTTTACTGAGACAGTGGAGAGCTTGTTTACTGAGACAGTGGAGAGCTTGTTTACTGAGACAGTGGAGAGCTTGTTTACTGAGACAGTGGAGAGCTTGTTTACTGAGACAGTGAGAGCTTGTTTACTGAAACAGTGGAGAGTTGTTTACTGAGACAGTGGAGAGCTTGTTTACTGAGACAGTGGAGAGCTTTTTACTGAGACAGTGGAGAGCTTGTTTACTGAGGCAGTGGAGAGATTGTTTACTGAGACAGTGGAGAGCTTGTTTACTGAGACAGTGGAGAGCTTGTTTACTGAGACAGTGGAGAGCTTGTTTACTGAGACAGTGGAGAGCTTGTTTACTGAGACAGTGGAGAGCTTGTTTACTGAAACAGTGGAGAGCTTGTTTACTGAGACAGTGGAGAGCTGTTTACTGAGACAGTGGAGAGCTTGTTTACTGAGACAGTGGAGAGCTTGTTTACTGAGACAGTGGAGAGCTTGTTTACTGAGACAGTGGAGAGATTGTTTACTGAGACAGTGGAGAGCTTGTTTACTGAGACTGTGGAGAGATTGTTTACTGAGGCAGTGGAGAGATTGTTTACTGAGGCAGTGGAGAGCTTGTTTACTGAGACAGTGGAGAGATTGTTTACTGAGACAGTGGAGAGATTGTTTACTGAGCAGTACAAAGGATTGTTTACTTAGTACAGAATTGTTTACTGAGGCAGTACAAAAGGTTGTTTACTGAGGCAGAGAACCAGTAACTAGTCCCCGTAACAAATTTGAGAGTACAAATCAGGGTGCAAAGTATTTTTGTTTAATTTAGGTAAACTGATTCCATCAACAGTGAAGCTCTGCTGAGTTCTGTATGATAGTTTTACACCGAACGAAGTTACTATTTTTCACCTGATAGTCCGTCACACAGGATAGGTTGTTTTAACTGAGTGTTTTAAATGTGTCAGCCTGACCCGGAGACTTAACCCTTTACCAGGATATCGTCAGTATATCCATTGAAGGTTCAGTAGCTAGGGCAGCTTCAGAGGTTCCTCCCTCAAGGAAGGTTTCCTTGATGTTGTGAGGGGCTCTTGATCTAGGAATGGATCTTGCTCCAGTTTCACTGAAATTAAACCTGAAATACGTTCAGTTATCTTGAGGATGGACATCTCTCGTCTCTCTCTCTCATCGGTCGTCAATTTCTCTTCTCTAATTCTTCTTTCCTCTCTGACTCTCTCATCTCTCTTGTGTTATCCCCTCTCTCTCTCTCCTACAGACTACGCCGCACGCACGCTCAATTACATTAGAGGAGTCTTGTGGGGTTGCGGGGTAATACCAGGATGCGAGTACGATGGATATTGATAGGTTGAGATAGTGGGGTAGGTGGGAGAGGAGTAGTTAGGAAAGCGTTTAAGAGTAGAGGAGAGAGGAGGGTAGGAAGGTAAGAGAATGGGAAAAGGGAGGTAGGAGGTAGGGAAGAGTCAGGAAGTAGTATTGATAGGGTAGGTAAGTAGGTTGAAGGAAGGCTCTAGTTTGTAATAGGTGGAACGTGTGGAGTTTCACTGCGTGTCCTCCAGACACTGCGTCACTAAAAAGGTTATAATCATTAAATTTTAAAGGGTTGGAGGGGTAAGCCAGCGGAGCCTCAATCAGATGACCAAATGTTCCAGGTGAGTGGTCTCATATATGAGCTAAGACCGCGTCAGGAAAAACTTGTGCTGTATCTTGACAAATCTTAGGCAATGTAACCTGCGACAGTATTAGACGCAGGT